CTCAGTGCGCAGCTGAGCGTCCTCCTGATCATCAAAAACTGAGCTCTTGTCACTCCCACAACGTGCATCCATTTCTGACGCATCTGAACATGACCCGTGCTCCATCTGGCCTGAGAACGTCAAGAAGTCAACCGGGAGTAGTAAGTTCCTGTGCACGACCTTTTCTCTGCCCGTGGCACCGTCCCGGATCCTGTACACATTGATCGATGGCCTCACAGACACTACATCATAAGGGGTCGAGTCCCAACGATCCGCAACTTTCCTCTTGCCCTTCTCACCTCGATTGGCTAGCAGCACTCTGTCACCTACAGCTAATGGCGAGCCCTTGACTTTGCGGTTGTAGATCTGGGCGTGACGGGTCTGTTCCTTGACTGCATGCTGTTGAGCAATCTGTGCGGCCTCAGAGAGATCTTTCTTCAAGTTGCTCACAAACTCATCGTGACTAACAACATTTGCATTCTCCAAGACATGATGGAACATAATGTCAACAGGCAAGCGAGGGACACGTCCAAATATCAAGTAGAACGGTGCAAAGCCCGTGGTCTCAAGCACTGTGCAGTTATAGCAGAGAGTCAGCATGTTCAACATCTGTGGCCATTTGGACCTGGACTTCGGGGGAAGTGTTCTGATCATGCCTCCAAGAGTCCGGTTGAACCTTTCCGCAATACCATTACCCATGGGGTGATACGGCGTCGTGTGGGACTTGTGCACCCCCGCCATCTCGAGAAGATCCTTGATGAGTCTACTCTCAAAGTTAGCTCCCTGATCCGAATGGATCCTTTTGGGGAACCCATAAATGCAGAAAAATTTGTCCCACAGGCAACGGGCAACTTGCTTTGCTGACTGGTTCCTGCAGGGGAAGGCAAGGGCCAACTTTGAGAAATGGTCTGTCACAACAAGGACATCAGTGGTTTTCTTGTCACCCGATTCTGCTGTCCAGAAATCGATGCACACTAGTTCCATTGGAGAGGAAGTGCGGATGTTCTCCAGGGGTGCCCGGGCATTCGGCTCAGGGGTCTTACCCAAGATGCATCTCTGGCATTGCCTTACATGCTTCGTGATATCTTTTTCCATCCCAGTCCAAAAGAACCTTTCACTAGCCAGAGAGAGCGTCCTTGAACAGCCCTGATGACCAGCTGCGTCATGAACACCATGTAGAACTTGATGCTTCAGAGACCCAGGTATGACAAACTGAAAGACTCTACGGTTCATGTGGCGATCTTTCCTTACTCTGTATAGAGTCCCATCATGAACTTTCAACTTCTTCCAGTGCCTCAACAACATAAGCACACAGCTCGACTCAGCTGCATTATTAATCCTCAACCAATAGTCATATGCGTCCTCATTAAACTCAGGGAGCGTAGTGTAAAAGTCTGCTAGGGGGAGAGGTGAACAAGGGACAGCCGCAAAATGTTTACGAAGAAGGCCATAGATGGCATCTGGGTTCCGGGTAACATCAACTGCACTGTTCCTTGCACTAACTTTTACACCTTTAGCTCTACCCCTGAGGTCCATAAGGATTTCCTCTGCCTGATGCTCAGGAGCTACAGTTGCTCTCCTCATGTGGTTCCTCATGAGGTCTTCCCATTCATGCACATTAACTGTATCAGTGTGATCCCCCTTGAAAGCTGGAGGTTCCCGAACTTTCCTGTGTGGAACTAGCAGAACTTGTGATGAGTCACTACTTTGTGTGGATGTGTTAACGGCCGTGTCATGGAACACTGAATTGTCATGCGTGGCAACGTTATGTGTTGGGCTAAGATGTGCAACAATGCTATCTGCCAGCTGCTGGCCAACATGTCTTATCATGGTACTCATCTGACCAACTATGTCAGGTGACTGGAGAAAGGGATCTGTTGCCGGTACATCAGTAGTCTGTGTGCTCGTCATAGGTACACTGCACTGAGTCTGGGAAGGAACTCTGTCCCCACTAACTGAAGTGGCCTCAGCTAGAACCTGCCCATTCCCCTCTGCATGGACTACATCACTCTGTACAGGAGTACTAAACTGTAACACGGTCGGGATCCCTCTACCTCTACCAACACACCTATTCAAAGGCGTGCTAAATGTTCCTTGCAAGGAGCTCATCCTGAGACTTCACAAAAAAAACACCAAAGGAAGAGAAAAAAAATGCAGAAAAGTACACACACTAATTGCAGAACATGAGCACACACTGTCCACCTAGTGATATGATGAAGCGGCACAGCGTCGTGGTCCCGGTCCGAAGTGGAGAGTCAACTTGTGATTGACGGGTCACGGCACCAATGTGACGGGGCTCACAAGTGTGATGTTCTCAAGCTCCACGTCGCTGCCGCCTCAATAAAACCAGACGCGTGGAGTGTGGCTTTTCTCTCTTTATTTATTACTGAAACACACTATGGCAGGGAATGGTGAAGTCACGTTTGGTGTCGGACATAGCATGTGACTTCCCTGGCAGCTCTGCCTGAACTATGGCGGGAAGCTGGTGCCATCCTGTGCGCTGTTGCGTCACTTGCACGGTAATTTAATAAACACAATATATCACTCCGTTACACACACACACACACACACACACACATATATAT